ATCAACCCACAACTTCCTTATTGAAACACAAAAAAATTAGCTCAAGGCTTAAGGAATTCAAAAGGACACTTAAATAGCTTAAAGGCTTAAAAAGCAACTTGGTTTGCTTATCAAGGGTAAACTTCAATGATGGATCTTAAACCCAGTAGTGGAGTTATCTTGTAGTTACAGAAACCAGCATCTGAAAAAAGTTTAGCCCATTCTTCCTCGTTTCTTTCCTTCCCGGTTACCAAAATCATCATGAGCATATCGAAGAATATTTGTGTTTCAATCGATTCATCGTTCCCTTTCTTGTTCTCCATCATCATGTCTATGATAATCACCTTCCCTCCTTCCCTGCCCTTAATTGCTTCTTTACATTTCTTAAGTATATTAACACATTCTTCATCGTTCCAGTCATGTAGAATCCACTGTTTTCATTAGGAAAAAAAAATTTTAAAAAGAAGAAAAAGAAAAAGAAAGAAGAGTTAATTAAAATATTTCAACAATCCTAATGCATGCACAGAAAAATTTTATCCAATTTAATTATGTGTGATAAATGATAATCTAGGATTTTATGCAAAATATTGAAGGAATTTAATTTATCTATTATATTTAGAGTGCATTTGGACTGAAATATTAATTATTTTTTGAATAATTATCAAATAAATATTTTGTCGAAATCATTAATAATTCCAATCAAAACACTATTATATATCAACCAAAGCACTATGAATTGATCAATATTATAAAATGCTTTCCTTGAATATTATATTTTTCATTGGTAGTTTTAATTAAAAACGGCAAATTAGCTAAGTAAACCCATGTATCTTTTTAATTAGCATAGTTGCTATAAACGATTGATTCCAATAGATCTGGAAATCATTTTTTTTTTATGTTTACATACAGTAGAATGTTTTTAGAGTAAATTGCATATAAATTAGTGCCTCTGGTATTGAAAAAAGAATTAATTAGTCTCTTTGGTTTCAAAAATTAATTATTTAGCTTTTTTTTTTAATCAGTATTGACCATCATGAATTTAATAAATTTTTTATTCTATAAATTATCTTATTTTTTTATTAATCTTTTCATATTTTTATTCATTTTCTGTTTCTTAACAAAAAATCAAAATAAATTAAAACTAACAAAAATGATTAAATAATTATTTTTTGAAACTATAATGATTAATTAATTCATTTCTGGAAGCGAGAGGGATTAATTTATAGTTTACTCAATATTTTAGGCCAGCTTTGAAAAAGTTAAAAAAAAAAAAAAAGGTGAAACTAAACAGCATACCTTTAGTAGAATCGCATCTGCCGGAGAAACTGCCTCAAACATGTCGCCACCAACATATTTTAAGTTTTGACTGCCTTGCAAGTCAGCTACAACATGTGGGAGATCAAAAACAGTACAATCCAAATGTGGGAATGCTTTGGCTATGGACTTGGCCACAGTTCCAGTCCCACCACCCACATCCACCAATGAACCCACCCCTTCAAACACCTCCTTGCAATCATTAATTAACACACTCGTAACCAAACGAGCATCACTGGCCATGGCATCGTTAAAGAAATTGTTAAGCATTGGTTCCTGACCACCATAGTCCCAGAATGTCTTCCCATGAGCTGTATCAAACGGAGTAGGATCATCATTTTTGAACCAAGTGCCAACAAAATGCCATGGCTTTGTCAAAATTGGGTCAAGTACGGCTTGCAAGAATGGTGTGAAACTTAAGGGGTTGTCTTTGAGGAGAAGCTGCGATGCATTGGTGAGAACATAGCCTTCTCCTTGATCATTTTCGCTAACCTTTTGTTTCTCAAAGAAACCAGAGTGGATTAACAAGCGCATGAGACGGGGGACGCTATCAGCTTTATTTGGGTGGATAGGCAGCGCTGCAATGAGCTCAGGGAGGGTCATAGGTTTGCCGTGTTTGTTGATGACATCGGGTATGCCTAGATCAATTGCACATTTTAGAGACATGGAGTTTATGAATTTGAGTATGTGATTCCATACATGAGCTTGAGCTTTAAGTGGCTCAGGATCATGCTTTCCATCGACCAAATTGATCATCTTTCTGCTGTCTAATGTTTTTCTTTTTCTTTCTTCTTCTTATGACCATAGATTGAACATAGAGGACAGCATTATATAGGGATGAACCGCGAGAGAAATAGATATAAAAAAATTGAGGGATACCACACTCAATTTATTAAAGGCCAATAATTAATAGATTAATTACCATTGGTGATGAAAATGGACAAAAATATTAATTGTAAGTTCTGTGTCTATAAGAATATAAGATGCACTCGATATCGCATGACTTGGCAAATCTGTCGAGTGAATTTATTAGAATTTATACTTCATAAACGAATAAACTAGTAGAAGTTATGGTTCCACTTACCTGTCTTTTTCTGAGCTCTCAATTTTGGTTTACAGTAACTTTCTCCTAACTCCTTGCCTAGCAAACAAAAGAATTGTGAAGAGATATTAAGAATTTGCCATTTTTTTATGGTGTTTTATGGTAAAAATATTCTTAAGCCAATTTTCTCTAATGTTGAGACTAATTATTACTTTTGATGGTGTTTTATGATCATTGTTCACGTCGACCACCATGAGAGGAGAGAGGTGGAAAACAAAGGATTCACCACCTAGCTAATCGGAGAGAACTAGGAAACCTTATATATACTAGTCTACATGGATATCTAGATAAAGGGTCGATTACGTATGGAGAAGATAAGACGTCACCATCATCCCGTCCTACCTAAGGCGAGGCTGCATTGTTTGTCTATGAATATAAAAATCTAGTTCTTATCATGTTACACTTTCATACTTATTTAAATAAATTTATTTGATGAAAATATGTAGACAAGATCGTTTAGGTGTAAAACATAGTAGTTTGAGCGTTCGAGCCGATCCAAAGCCAATACGCCCTACCCAAATGGGAAAAAATAAAAAAAGATGGAATTTCAGCTAATCATTATGAACATGACCTATTATCAATAAATAGGCGAGTTTCTAAAGATAAATAGCCTTTTATTGGCATGAGCCACGAGTCATCGATGACTTCGCTCACATAAGTGGGGAGTCATCGGTGACTTTGCTCGCATAAGTGGAAAGTCATCGACGACTTTAGGTTATGCATTTAAGAAGTTATCGACAACTTCGTCACGGGAGTGAAAAGTCACCGACCGACAACTTCATATCGCTCCGGTGAGGAGCGAGATAACTATTTAGAAGCCACCTGCGGCTTCGTCACATAAATGAAAAGCCATCGACGACTTCATTTCAAAGAAATAGACATTAAATGAAAAATTATTTTTGAAGCCACTAAAGGTTTTGTCACATAAGTGAGAAGCCACCAACGACTTCATTTCGATGAAATAAGCAATGAAAAATAGAAAACGAGAAGCGAGGGAATAGTAAACGAGAAGCGGGGAAGACGGGGATTAGGTACTAAACAAAATGATTTTGAAACCACCAACGGCTTTTTCATATAAGTGGGAACCCATTGACAACTTCGTTGTAGCATTGCAAACAATCATAGAAAATCAATTGAATAAAAAAAACTAACCCAAATGTCGCATTAAAAAAGTAGGTGTGATAAGAGGAAAACAAGACATTTTGTTGGTCATTGTAATAATATTTCATTTTAACTACATTTAATCCATAAGTGTGGAGGCAAACATCATAATTTTAAACACATTCCAAATACATCAATCATTTTTAACCTTTAAAACAAGTAGGCATGATAATAGAAAAACATGACATTTTGTCGGTCATTATAGTAATATTTCATTTTAACTTAACTACATTTAATCCATAAATGTGGAGCCAAACATCATAATTTTAAACACATTCCATACACACCAAACATTTTTAACCTTTATTATGTTTTTTAAAATGTCATGGTTTTAGGATTTTTATCCAAAAGTCTTGAAATGTCGATGTTCGATTTAAAGTTAACTTACCCTTTTCATTCCCGATGATAATCAATTATTTGATGAATCGAAAAGGAGAGCAACTATCGAGTGGCCAATGTGTGGTGTGAATGCCGCTAGAGTGGCCAAAAACTCCTCCTTTACTTATGTGAATGTTCCAAAGTTATTGTAAAATTTGCGAGTTCCCGAATACTCAAAGTGACTTTTGTCTGTTGTGTTTTCCTATCAAAAATAAAAAAAATACAGTTTACAATATCATGTTATTTACGCCAACACAAGAAAAAATTTTAGTATTTCTTTTTATTTTTTTCTTTTATTTCCTTTTTTTAGTAACTCCAAAAGTGTTAAAAGGGTTGTTTTGAGAGAGGTCTTGTGTCTATTTTGGTGGGTTTTTTTTTGGGGGGGGGGGGTTAGGTTTTTTTTTAATCTATTTGGGGGATGTTTTTTAGCCTACTTTGGTGGTTCAAATGAGCTATCCAAAGGGTTTGCTCTGTAAGGGCTTTTGAGGGCTATTGGTAATGGTTGCAAGTTATAAATGTTGTTGTTGGTGGCTTTTTTGGCTCGGTTTTTCAACCTTTTTGGGACGTGTTTTGGGGCTATCTTAAAGCTAGATTAGGGTGTTTTATTGGATATTTTGATGGTTGAAGGGGGCTATTCAGAAAGGGGGATTTCGTAAGTGTTTTCTGGGGCTATTGGAAATTTTTGTCCTCCCTTTTTCGTGAGAAATTTCGCTGACTTGTTCAACCAAACTTTTGACCATTCAAAAGATCTAATCTTGAACTAGTGTCTTTATAAGAATTATAGTGCCCGATGTTATCTTTTAAACATAACTGGCATTTCATCAATTAGACTCTTATAGCCTAAGATATGGGCTCGAACCTAATAGGCCCTACTCGTTAAAAAAGCTATTGGATAGATTCGGCATTCAACTTTTAGCCTCGTTATGACTTTAAAAGCTTTTGAATTAGGCTTTTAACTCGCATAATAGTTTTAGCTCGATCTGCTAGGCTTCCAAAGAGCCCAAGATCACCTAATTTTGATGTCCGTAGCTCAAGTTATAGTCAAAATACAAAATGGGTGTGATAGTTGGAGTGGCCTATGGCATGTTGGCTTGGTGCGGGATGAAGGCTCGTGCGAGCAATAGCATGAGACCGGTAAGAGAGGCTAAGGGTGCTAGGATGAGGAGGGGCTTGCAGTGGCCGATGAAGGTCGGCTTTAGTATGGGGCCGTGGCATGCGGGATCGAAGGGTTGGAGCGTGCTTGGACTAGCCTCGTATGGGGTTATGGCGTGCGGGATTGAAGGGCTAGAAGGGCTAGAGCTGGGCAATGAGCTTCGGATGAGGGAAAGTTGGCATGTGGATGTTTATGAAAAGGAGGAGATAGAAGGCTCGTGATGAAGAAGTTTTAGGTGTGGGGAAGCTTTTGTATCGGTGTGATGTGTGGTATGTGAGGAGGTGTGCTAGTGAGAGAGAAGTTGCAGTAGTGAAGGAGAGAGAGACGGCTGAAAATGGGTGAAGAGTGGGAGAGTTGGACAATTGCTTTGGTTGAGGATGGTTGTGGGGGAGGAGAATGGGTGTTTGTAGGGTGGTTATGGTGGTTTTTGGCAAGGAAAGGGGCTGCCATGGAGGGAATTTTTAGGTGAGGAAAAGAGGAGGGTAAAGTCTGCTGGAAAGGTTTTTCTTGTGAAGTTGATGGTGAATAGTGGCTGGTATTAAAAAATGGATGGCTTTTATAGGTAGGGTATTTTTGTGGCAAACTTCTAATTTGGTCCTCGATCCTTTATCATCCATCAACTTGAGTTTAATTTTCATTTTTGTTTCGATGGCTCCCTTAAATCTCAATTAATTGAGACTTTTCTTTTTGGTTTCTTTAAATTATGCCCCCTCCTTATTTTAATTAAAGGCCATAAGTTTTGATTTTTTTATTAGACCCTTAATTGCCCCTTTTGTTACTTCCAAAATTTTATTTTTTCTCAATTAACCTCTTTTCTACAATTAATCTTAGCTAATCATCTCGATTGATTTTTTCTTTTCTATTTTTCTATTTTCTATTTTTTTTTATTTTTTTGGGTATTTTGTAACAAAAATAAAAATTGAAGTAAAAGTAATAAGGATAAAAATTTGGATGATAACGATTGCTCTCTCTTTACAATGCTTAAGACGTAAAGTCATTGAAAATGTTTTTTTTCAGCTTTACATAGTAAGCTTGTAAAGAAAATAGTAAAAAGTTAGGGGAGACATGATCGACCATATTGAAAGAAAATATGATCGACCATGTTAATTTGAAAGGGCATAACTAACTACACCGACTTTGCAAGACATGACCGACCATGTCGAAGAAAACGTGATCTGTCCACGTTGATCTAAAAAGGGTGCAATTGACTATATCGACTTTGCAAGACATGACCGACCACTTCAAAAGAGAATGTGATCGACCACGATGCTTTAAGAGGACGTAATCGATCGCCCCTACTTTGTAAGACATGATCGGCCATATTTATTTGAAAGGATGCGACCGACCACATTGATTCTATAGGGACACGATCGACCGTGTCTAACTAAAAAGAAATGTGATCGACCATGTTAATTTTGTACGTACGTAATTGACCACGTCAATTTTGTAAAATATGATCGACCATGTTGGAAGGGAATGTGATTGACCACGTTTATTTGAAAGGATACGACCGACCATATCGATTCTATAGGGACACGATCGACTATGTCCAATTAAAAAGAAATGTGATCGACCATATTGATTTGAAGAGATACAACTGATCACGTTAATTTTGTAAGACATAATTGACCATGTCGAAAGGAATGTGATCGACCACGTTTATTTGAAAGGATGCGACCGACCACATTAATTCTACAGGAACACGATCAACCATATCCAATTAAAAGAAAATATGACTAACCACATTGATTTAAAGGGGTGCGACCGACCATGTTGAGCTAAAGGGACATGATTGACTATGTCAACTTAAAATAAAACGTGATCGACCACATATATTTGGAGGGGTTACGACCGACCATGTCTACTCGAAGGGACATGACTAACCATGTCAAATTAAAAGAAAACGTGACTAACCACGTAAATTTGAAGGGGATGAGACTAACGATCGTGACTTAGAGAGATATGACCGACCATGTAGATTTGAAGGGGGCGCGATTGACCACACCGACCTAAAAGTACATGATTTACCATGTCAAATTAAAAGAAAACGTGACCGACCACGTAGATTTGAAAGGGGCACGACCGACCACACTAACCTCGAGGGACATGATCGACCATGTCAAATTAAAAAAAACATGGCCGACCACATAAATTTGAAAGGGGCGTGACCGACCACGCCAACTCGAAGGGACATGTTTGACCATGTCAAATCAAATAAAAAGAAAACATGATTGACCACATATATTTGAAAAGGACACGACCGACCATATCGACTCGAAGGGACATGACCGACCATATCAAATTAAACGAAAACGTGATCGACCACATAGATATGAAGGGGGCGCGACCTACCACATCGACTCGTAAAGGACATGACCGATCATGTCAAATTAAAAGAAATGTGATCGACCATGTTGATTTGAAAGGACGTGACTCGATCATGTCAACTTAGAGGGATATGATCGAGCATGTTAATTTAAAAGAAAACGCGATTGACCATCTTGATTTGAAAAGAGCTCAACTAACCACGCTAACTTTTCAAGACATGATCGGCCATGTTAAAAGAGAATGTGACTAGCCACATTGAGTTGAAAGGGACGATTAGCGGGTCGGCTTTGCAAGACATGATTGGCCTTGTCAAAAAGAGAACGTGATCGGCCACATTGATTTGAATGGGTACAAATGGTTATGTCGACTTTGCAAGACATGACTGGTCATGTCAAAAGAGAATGTGATCGGCCACGTTAGTGTTTTTGTAAGATGTGATAGACTAATTTGACTTAGGCTGATGTGACACACCACACCGGCTCGAGACGATATGATAGACCATTTTTTTAAGAGGTAACGAGACCATAGTTTTTTTTTTATTTTTTTGTCATAACGAGACCACTCTAACCTTAGATTGACATGACAAACCATGTTTTCCGACGAATATGACTACTTATTCTAAATTAAACTTAAGTAGAGTTTTAGAGAAGCATAGGTTGTCACTATCAAAACATAGGTTTTCCTCTTTTTCTTCATTTGTGTGTCATCTAGCTTGAATAAGCTCATATTTCTAGGTCGACTGCTTTCATAGAGCTTGTCCGTTTGTATTTTTTATTATGCCTTATGTTCTTGCATTCATTAAAGGTTGTCGCTCGGACTATCGCCTATGTCATTTGAGTGGTTCTGCTCCTCTATCTAAATAGGTGATCGCTATTTTTGTGTGCCCTTTCAGTGCTCGTCCCATATATTCAAGCTTTTACAACCATATATGAAGTGTTTGGCTCGATCTTAACTCGTTTATAGTTCATCAAGAGAAAGTTTGTAACGATTTTGTAGAGGCTTACCTCTTGTAGACCAAGTCCGAATAGGAAAAGAAAATTAGTTCAATTGTTTCAATTGTTTGAGTGTTCTTATGTGTAAAAAAGGATTTTATATGTTTGAGATGCTTGAAAACAATATAAAATAGTAAGAGATAACGAGTATGAGAAAGGCCTTGGTTGAACTTTAGTATCCACTTTTAATTTAGTCATTAATCATTGATTAGATAATTAACTCATCCTAACATGAATATTCAACATAAGACAACAACATGTATGTTGACCCTAGTCTTTCCTTACCTAATCGTTAACCGAACATACGATACCTAATTAATTCTATAGCTATTGAACAACCTACTAAGCATTAGATAACTTTAATCCAATAATAACATTAAGATCGGAAAGATAAGTGAAGCTAAGCCACCTTCCTAAACACTAGAGAAAATGTAACCTAATTCTATGTTTTTCAAAAAAATGAATGAAAAAATCACATAATCATCAATCCTTAGTTGCTACCATAGGCAAGTTTAGATAAGTAATGACACGGACTTGAATACATAACTAGTAATAAGTAATATGACTAAACGAGCTAGCATGCATTCTAATTAAATTAATCATATAATTATGAACCAATTATGCGAGAAAAACATAAAATACCCAATAGAGATAAGTTTAGAAATAAAACCGAGTAATCTCACAACTATTAACCAAAAGCTTCAACTTGATTCAACCAAGAATGGAGTTTAGTTATTCATATTGTATTACAAAAAGCATTTTTACTAATGGGGGTTGTAGAAGATCTAGAAGAGAGAGAGCCAAATAATATCCTAGCTTTGCTATTCATACCCAAAACTAGGGTTACATCATGTTTGTGTTAGCATTACATTATCATACGAGTTGATACATAAAGTCACATAATTTGTTACTTAATAACATATGGTTTGAAGCCTTGAAAATTAAGTGTTACATAACTTGCTAGCTAAAGCACACGATTGTGTAACTTTGTTCTTCATTCCGTGTAGCCAAGCTTTTGCCCGTGTGGATTCCTTCCGAGACCATATTGCCAATCTTTTGCCCGTGTATATCTTCTTTTCCTTAGAGACATGAACGTTTGGCTTTATATCGTAAACCGTGTAAAAAGCCTACTACTCGTGTGGTCTTTTTCTTTCCTTTGGTTCTGCTAGGTTCATTCACCCTCACGGTCGTGTGGAATGTTTTTCTAGCCGTGTGGCTTATTGTGCTTAAGGCTCTACACAGTTTCCTCCTTTAAGTCACACGATCGGTAGCTATTTCCTTTGTTATTTCACAAGATCGTATGACTCCTCTTAAGCCTCTTTGGAGTTTCTTTTTTCCTTTTTAGGTTTTAGGTTTCCTTATTCTAATTCATCATTTTTCCTACAAACCCAAACCATCATCTTGTTCTTAAATAACATAATATAATATAATAACTAATTGAAAGTTCAATGTAATAGAGCATAAAAATCATGCTAATTATGCACTCATCAAATACTCCCATACTTAAACTTTGCTAGTCCACGAGCAAAACAAATAAAAATAAAAAGCTAAGTCACTTTCATAGGAATAAAAATTGCATTTAGTATATGCAACAAATCTTTAAACCATAGGTTATCCCTAGTGGATGAGTTGTGTCTCGTAAGGGTTTTCGGACGATAAACCCATAAAATCGCTCAAACAAATGTCATACTAATATGATTATTCTTCAACTATTGATGCTCAATTCATAATTCAACAAAATTTAATAGTCAATCAATCATGTTCAAGATATTATTATTATATCAATACATGTCTCTAAGTTGATTTTTGCATCTTCATAACCAAACACAATTCAAGCATGCGAGCACTAACTCTATCTTTTACCCCTTTCGCCATTATAAGCAAGGTAATAAATAGAGATTTCCCTTTAACCAAAATATTTCCATTTTAAGAATTCCAATTTTTTTTCTAAGGCCTTTATAGTTTTTTTCCTAAGTGATCACTTATCTTTTTATGCGACTACCAACATTTGTGAAGGTAACCGATTACTTAGCAAGTTATTAACCTAAAGTGCTTTGCATATTCCTAATTTGAATCATCATTTAACGTAAAAATAAACATTTATAATGAATACTCCTATTTACTAAGCAA